ATTTATCAGCTACCAAAGTATTATGTGAATATAAATTAATCAGCTGAATGTTGTGAAATTATGCTAGTTACAGTAACTGGCAATACTAACTCACATGCATTGGTTATAAGATGTGTGCCTCTCAGTATTATTAGGATAACATTTTCATGTTTTGATTATCTAGATCTAAATCTGTTCAAATATTGTATACTGGAACTATATAGTCAGGGACTGATGCGGAATGCTGCTAGAGCTACATGTCCACATGAATCATGGCATAATTGTTATAGACTAAGTCTAACCATTAATATCTATGGTCTAACCATTTAACAAAAGCAAAAAGTACAAGGTCTACTTCATCCACTCTCCAGACCCGCCCTCAGTGCCTCAGGGATGCAGGTCTGGGTGCATGCAAGTCATAAGCCCACACCAGTATCTAGATATCACCCAAACTCACCAGAGGCAACAATAAAGATTATGATGAAGGTGGAGGTGAAATTTAAAATACTGAGGAACATTCTGAACACAGCGAACAGTCAAGCACTACGAATAGCAGGGGCGTTAGTCTCGCCACGCCCCTTCGCTACCTGCGGAGGAAGGGTCTGGAGACACTCGCAGTAAAAAGCTGTGCTATATGCAGAGAAATCCACGTCCCAATCAGATTGCTCGAACCACGTGTAGGACAAGTAGTCATGTGACCAAAGAGCTCTGTTTAAGACAAAAGAAGAAGAATGAGGACCAAATAAAGGCTGGATGGAGCCTGTAACACTCCCTGGACTTCTTTCTCAAAGTTTAAGAGCAGCATTATTATGCTGCTTACTAAAACGACGCCATGGCACTTATGACGTAATAATAATGTCACGTGTTTACAATAAAATGTCATCAATAAAAAGTAAATATTATAGCGCTCTGTAAAGAGCTGCTGCTCTCAAATCTGCAAGAGATGTCCAAAAGGCTTTATCCTTGTCTTCTTTTAGCTGCAAAGCATCTCTTTCAGCTGTTTTGACTGATCTGGTCTCCTGTCACATGATGTAGAACCAACCACGTGGACTTCTTTGCACACATTTTTACCGTGAGTGTCTCCAGACCCTTCCTCCGTAGATAGCGAAGGGGCGGGGCGAGACTAACTCTGCTCTTGTTCATCTCAATGTCATGGGCGATTGGGCGACGGGCGTGGCCTGAACATAATCTACAATAATTATCTTTTTTCATTAATTTTACTATCTATGATTATAGATTAGCATCATATCATACAATTTTCTTTTTTTTCTTTACTTAATGTAATAATAAAAACTATACATTATCATGGTTTGTTAACTATCTCATGGTGCAAATATTTTTAAAAAGAGATATTAAATATATTGAAACCTCAGGAAATCATGATCTTTATACAGTTGCAACTGTCTGACAATAATACAATGTGGGCTCCTGGTTCAACAGTTGAAAGTTAATGATTTAAGTCCTTCAAATGATAAAAACAGCTTTTCTTTTCTCTTTTTTAGTTCTCCACATCTTTAGTGCAAAGAAAGCATTAAAGCCTGTCATTGCTATCACGACTATCTACAAAATAAAAATTGGAGCATCACTTTATTATAATCTACTATTTATTATAAAATGATACCAAATAATAATTTATGCGACAGTTATCGTTTCCTACAAGTTACTGACAAAATAAAATTTGGACCACATACTCTGGTCCTGTTACTACTTTAGGGTCGGTATATTAATTGAGCTCTTAAATTTTGGTATTTTCAAGGGGACCTTGATTTAGCGAAATGTAATATTAGCGAAAATAGAAAGAAAATCACTGATAAAACTCCTATTCAATAGCATAGCACTACTCGATAAATCCAATCTACCCATTTAAGAGCAGAATACTTAATAATAGGATCACTCACTCTACTGTTATCTTGTTACAGATCTTGCCTTTCTTGTGTACTAGCTTGTTTAAGTACATGTACAAACTATTATTAGCAGTGACTAGTTGAACTAGCATTTCGTATACTCACTAAAATGCTAAAATCAAGTGTCGCAATTAATACCTACCCTAAGGTATATGTGCGGGCTAAACTACTGAAGTGTATTTTGAAAATTAAATTATGCTAGAAATGGATTCAACTAGGTATATGAACTACAATTAACTACTTCACATTGTATACCGTAAAGCATAAAATTTTCAAGGGCTGTAATTTTCCCGAATTTGCCTAAAAATCTATTTTGCAGATTCAATTTTTGCAAATTTATGCTGTCAGCCATTTTGTACCGTAATAATCCTCTTAAATTTAACAATAATATTAATGCCACGTAAGTCAGCAACAATTATTGATAAATGACTAGAAATCTTTATTTAATGAATTATCGATAGTTCAATGTACATAATGGTTATAAATGACTGATTTATAAAAGGTTCCTTAACCTTTTATTACAAGTATGTGTATGTACATGTACATGTAATTTATGAGTTTCAACTATTTCTTTATTTACTTGTTGTTCTTTGTGGGTTTGTATTGGGTCAGTTCTTAAATTGGTTCCTCTTTGAGGTCCTCTCTCCTTCTCCAGCTGGTAAGTGAGTGCAATCAGTCGAAGATCAACAGCTGATAGACTTTGATAATCACCAGTCTTCTTAGAGAAATCAGTCACTAGAGGAGAGGGAGAGGGAGGGAAGAAAGGCAAATATGAAAGGAAGAATAAAAGTTTATGGTAGTTGGTTAGATGTTCATTTATTGTTATACATAATGTACTTATGTTGCGTAGAAAGTTTGAGCTGCTTCTGATTAAAATTAGATTTTTTATTAATTTTTTAAGTCGCTCCAAAATCGGGCCAAAGTCCCTGTGCTGTAGTACAGGGTCATTGGCCAAATTATAAATTACAAATTGGCCAAATTATTATAAAATCAGACCATAATAATAATAATCTGTGACAATTATATTTTCTTACAAGTCACTGACAAATTTAAATTTGCATGACATACTCTGGTCCTATAGCTACCTTAGGGTGCATGGGTATTAATTGCACTCTTTAATTCAGTTCAGAGTTTTCAAGAAAACACCGATTTAGCAAAATGTAATATTAGCAAAAAATAGGAATAAAATCATTGATGAAACTCATATTGAATAACATAGCAATACTCTATCTATTAAAGAGCAAAACACTTAAGGATCATCCTATCTACTGTTATCTTAGTACAGATCTTACCTATCTTGTGCACTTGTACTGCCATATAGTCGGAAATTTTGGAGGGGATTAAATTTGGCAAATTTGGTATTTTGATAGCCATTCACCAAAATAAAAATCCACCATTTTGAGCCATTATACACATGCTTAATGGCACATGGCCACAAATCCAAAAATCCGCCAATCACCAAAATTCAGCAATTCGCCAAAACTTAGCCCCTCCAAAATTTCCCACTATACGGTATTAGCGGCTAGTTGAACTAGTGTTTTTAAAAGTACACTTGCTAAAAATTCTAAAATTAAGTGTCGTAATTAATACCCACCCTAAGTAAATTGGACTTCTATATAACAAATTGGAGTTTGATATGATAAATTTGAGTCTGATATAACAAATTGGAGTGCAATAAAAGAAATTGGAGTCCTATAGTAACAGATTCCAAGTTATTATATCAGACTCTAATTTAATACATAGAATCCCAATGTTATAAAGTACTCCTATTTACTATAGGACTCTAATTTCTTTTATTGCACTCCAATTTATCATATCAAACTTCAATTTACCATATCAAACTCCAATTTGCTATAAAGGAGTCCAATTTACTATATCAAACTATAAAATTCAAATTATTATATCAGATTTAATTCATTAGTAGGAATAAAATTTACATGTACATACGGTATGTACGTGCAACAGTATCATGTAGTAAACTCAATAGATATATATGGCATCAAAAGTTGTAGAATAATTGGTTGCTGATAGCTCCGTCATACATAATATAGAATTTAATTATTGTTGTAACCACAAAATTCAATGATAATGTAAATGGTATCCATAGCTCTGCAATGTCTGTATGGCATCTTTTAATATCGGCTGGATCTATCTGTCGGAGCATAACCACTTTAACCGGAAGAGTATTTAGTAGTACATGTGTATGATTCTTAGCTGCAACAGTACATATTATTATTTTATGCAATTTATTGTTGTCAGTATTAATTTATCTATTATTAAAAAAATTTTTTGTATATTTTAGATTGCCAAATA